CATTGACAGCTTCTCATTCTGTTTGCTGGATTTACCTTCTATACAAGGCCATCCATCACTCTCAGAGAAGAGTGCAAAATCTTAAAGCAATACATTTGGCTCCATCACTGGATATGGGCAACTTCGGAATCAATGTAATTGGACACTATTAACATTGAACAAAGCTACGCCTAATGGGCCAATAAGACAACACCTGTCCAAATGGTAGGAGCCTTGAACAAAGGTACATATTGTAACCTGATACTAGAAAGCCTTCTCTTGATGGTGGATTATTTCTATTGATCACGCCCTGCTCTTTTAAAAACCCACCTGGGCCCCTGTTTATTGAGCTACTTAATAAATTTAGCCACCTGGTACAGCCATAAGCAATACACAGTTGTTGATATTCAGATGGCAATACAAGAACCCTGTAATGCAACCTCCCCTTAACTCCCCCCAAGAAAAAAAGGAAGGAAAACTCAAAAACAAGAGAAAAGTGAAAAAAGGAGAACAAGGCAGGAATAATTTATCTAGTTTTTGACTGGTAATCTTGCATGCAAATGATTACAAAAAACAAACCCAACAAAAATTTAACAATAAAAAAAAATGCATTTGACTTGTAACATGATAGAAAAGTTCACACTACTTGCAAAAATTAGCTGAGAACAGTCATGAGTAGTAGACATGGACATCAGATAAATTCTGTCTTTGTAAACTGAAACCTTCCAGCACTCAAATCAAATCAGATAGAGAGTGAAAGGTCAAAAATTTCTCACCCAACAATGGGATGCTGGAATCCCATTCGCTGACCAGCAAGCTCCAGTTCTTTGGCCAATCTGGGTTGGGGGCGCAGGATATATTTAAGCACCTGACCCATCCACCAGACAAAAGGGTGACCATGGAGCTTCCTCAGCCTCTCTGAGAGGTCCTCAGGTATGGCTAGAGGCAAGAAGTCAGGCCTTGGGTTCAAGCCATCGACGATGGGCAAATCAATCACCTGTGTCTTCGCCATCTTCTCCATTGAAGCTGTAAGACAGGCCAGCAAAGCATGCATCCCATTAATATTAAGTAAATCAACTTGAGGAAAAATTAAGTCTTTTACCAGTTTTTGCAAACAGCTGTTTTTTATTCTTAATAGATCTTTCTTCCTGTGTGTTTCACTAATCATACTCAAATTTATATATAAAAGAAATCATCATCACAGTAAAATACCAAGCAAAACAAAGCACACAAGCAATAGGGGCGTTTTACAATAGTGCGCCTCCAAGAGTTTCCAACGCACTGACCAATCACAACGCCCGAAATTTGTCGAGCCTTTCCAAACGCGCATTGGGTTGACAAATTTCGTGCATTGTGATTGGCCAACGCATTGCAAACTCCTGGAGGCACACTTTTGTGAAACGCCCGTATTCTGGTACACTTCCATGAAAGAGTACAAAGAAAAAATACTACAGTATAATTTTGAGTGTTACAACAGTGCAGTTCTAGTCAAGTGCAATTCTACAAGTGCAAGTACAAGCCTAGAGTATCACCACGTATGGGCATAGTGACCTTTCTTATACTGATAGAGCAAGTTTTGCCAAAATTCAAGTTTGAATATCTCAAGTTGGCAACGACGAATTTTAAATCCCATCCGTACAAACGTGTTTTAGAACTTCCAGTTTATGTCTGTAGTCAGGTTTTCTGTAATTTCAAATTTTTGTAACTGAAATTTTTTTTCTCCATATGCTGCAAAATGTAAGAAAAGCACCCTGTAACATGGAAACACCCATGCAATCTGTTGCAGGCTGCTAGAACAAGCCTTCTGATTGGTCAGATTGTGCGAGATTGTAATGTAATAGGCTATCCAAATATGGTAACACTCCAGACTGAGTATGACACTTGTCATTACGAAAAAGTCCTTGGATTAGTCTTATTAGTCTAAAGATGGCAAGCCAAACAGTAATTAATAGGCAAGTTGGCTGTATGAACTGTTGAGGGTGTCGTTAGTCATCAAGGGTTAACAATGAAAAAAATAAGGCGACAGTCTTATGAAGCTGCAGTGCATCAATATTTGCTTAGTGCAGCAAAAGGCCTATTCACACTGGACAAATCTCAGGGTTGATGCAGGGTTAAAAACTGGCAATGACTCACATTTACAATTTTCAACCCTGTGCCAACCCTGCGTTAACCCCGAGATTGATTTCAAGACAGGTTGAATTCAACCCTGCTCTGGACCAAGGTTGAGATTTTTCAACCCGGGTTGAAAATCGTTTATGCTGATTTCCGGGTTAAACTTGCCCAGATAAACTTGGTTTGAACAAAACCAGGCTGAAACAACGCCAGGTTGAACATGGGTAGAATCATATTTTCAACCCAGGATGGTCATGGGTCACCCAAGGTCGAGTTCAACCCAGGTTGAGAGGCTGCAGTGTGAAAAGACCTAAAAATGGTTTACAAGCCAAAACACCACTGGTGATGCTCACTGACGGCTCTTCGCCAACTTCTCCGAACCATGTAAGCTTGGTTAGTATTATTTTATGTCTACTAAAGCACTATGGATCCTAATAACGAAACTGCTGCTATAAGATATGACTCAAGTGTGAACCAAAAGGTGCACTACTTCAATAAGACATGGACAGCAAAATATATTTCACTTTGCTATAAAAGTGATGTCAACTGTGCAGATAACGAACCGTGTATCTCTGTGAGCAAAAAAGTTTAACTGAGGAACAGACTGTTCACAGGCACTCAAACAATAAAAGTATACAATTTTGTATATTCATACAAGTATATGATATTGAGGGGCAATAGCACACAAGACATTAAAACGTCAGAGATGTTCCCATTTTGGGGGTAAAACTTAACCGCTGTGGACATACCTGGCCAAAAATCTAGAGATTAATTTTGTTTATCTCACAATGGTGCCATGTTTTCTGTTTCGGAGTTTTTAGAAACTTATTTGAAAATTGTTGATCTTTGCAGGTGTGGGTACAGAGAATGAATTTGGTATCAACAAAGGAATAAATACTGATGTTGACAGGCTGTGTTCCTGAAATTTTTGGTATGAAAGCGATCACAACTACTGCCATCAGGCATTGACGATATTGCTGTCACATTTTCAATTATTCAGTTATTGATATACGGTGTAGTAGCTGTCATAATCCATTCCATTCTGGGGCTGCATTTATTACTGGAAATGGGGCACTGCAGGATATGACATCAATACAACCCCATTTTTCCCCCCCACCCGTCGATCCCCATTAAATTTCAATCTAGCATACATCAACAAAATTGACTGCTCGAGAAGTGGCGCATAATGGGTTTTGCTGTAATGCGAGGGAGTCTGAAGTCTCTCGCTCTCTTTTTTTTCAGACAATTCATCCATCTCTGCCATGAGGATGTGAATACTATGTAGCTACTTGTATGACTCGGTTTATTCCCTCCAAAAAAATTGACTATAGACTTGCTTGCCACACCTGCCACGTGGATCCACGGCAAATGCAGATTAATTATGACTAGCAAACACTTTGCCATTGATGTTTTAGCTTCATGAAGTAGTCCTTCTCAAATTGTACACTTTGTAAAATAATCTTTGTCAAGACATTGTATTTTCAAGCAAGTCCTCTCACTTGAAGCTTTCATGTTTTGTAAAATGCTCGGTGTTGAAAGCTGTTGGTTTGGTAGGGAGATTTAGATTTCAGTTAATTGGGATAATCCTAGACCCTTGAAAAATCCAATTAAATTTTGTTATTGTCGACAAGAATCCTTCAAAAGTCTGCGGCCAATTTGGAGGATCATTACGGATGTTATTATTACATAATGCAGCTTATGTTTCCGACAATCGATGTTAAGTGTAGCTAACATACACGTATTTGATTCATGTGAGATACATCCTTTGATTGCTGAAGTCCTCAAAAAAGTCTTTTCGTTACACTGGGTGTGAAAAATTTATGAGAAAGCACTTGCAGACAAGGTAAAGATCCCTGCAGATTTGGGGCTTTCTAAACACTGCTTAACATAGGGCATCAGGAAGTCAGGTTGGTGTAGTGGTCCTTTGCTCACCTTCTACATCAGTGACCCAGGTTTAAATCCCACCTGGGCTGATATGTGGATCAAGTTTTTAGTCCTACCAGACCCTGGAATATTTGTAGTCATTACTCTCACTTCTAAAACCGCCCATGCCACTTTGACTTTGACAAAAAATGAGGAAATTCCAATCTTTACGAGACTTTGTACAGTGTGTTTTTCAATTTTCAATGGCAGGAGTGTGAAGTGAAAAACGAGGAAATCAGCTGATCCAAGGAAAAGTTGCAAGCCAGTAAAACTAATCATTTCCTCCACTATCCTCTGCTCTGGGCCCCAAAAGAGAACAGTACATTGGTAACTAATAGATCACTTGCACCTGTTAAGTCACATGACCTAGAGTGGGTATCAAACATCAACAAACATGGTGTCCTCCCACAGCAAAGTTGTGTTTTAAGTGTTCTTTACAAGAAATAAAGCCAATTTCTGGTAAAGTACATGTAATTTTAATAACAGGTTTTGCCCTTACCCAACGTATAAAGTACATGTACTCACCACATCAGCAGGATGAGTACTTTACCAACTGTCGGCTTTATTTTTTTGACAAATTACACTTATGACACACTTTGTTAAAGAAGGATGCTATGTTTGTTTGGTCTGTTCTGGACACACTTTGACACAGCCTATATATTGTGCATTAGATTTCTTTCTCCATTTTTCACTCAACACTGCCCGCAAAAACTAGTTTTTATTTTGGATAATAAAATCTAAATTACTGTCATTTTGCATTTTCATAGATTCTTAACTTGTCTTTGTGTAGTTATTTGTCTTTTAAATTAGGTTAATTGTGTTTTGAATCAGTGTAATTCTTTTCTTCGGTAATTGTTCAGATAGAGATACTTTTTACATTTATTTTTATCTATTATATCTTAATGTAAAATTGACTGTAATTCAGCCTTTCGGCTGTGAGTTTTTTCAAATCATTAATAATAATATAAAAGCATTTCCATAAAGGAGCAATTTTCCAAACTGAATTCCAAAAGTGAAAAGTTAAGAGAACTTTAAGGCATGATACTTTGAAACCTGAGGTGCAAGCCATGCCCATTATTGGGCTTATGTGCAAATCAGTGTCAAATTATATCTGTTGCCAACAGTAACAAATACCTCATGCACTAATTCTGGCAATCTGATTGGTGGATTGAGTCAGTCCTTTTTCTCTTGTGATGACACTGAGCTGGATGGGACTAGGTGACAAGAGGAGATGGTCATGCTAACACTAACAGAAAAGAAAGGAAATCAGCTACAACACTCCATGCACTTATTCAAATGAGTACGCAATTTACATGCAAATTAAGACCATGCACAAAACTGTCAACAAATCAACAAAATCAATTCCTTCCAGAAACTAATTTCCAAAACAAAACACTGCATTTGATAATGCAGGCATGCCAAGCTTACTCAGAAGATTCCCCTCCCCCCCAAAAAAGAACAAAAACAGACAATCCCAATTTAGGAGACAACCAACACAGGGTTGGATAATTAAGTTGACAGAGTACCAGTCGAGTGTCCCTGACATTATGGGCTCAAAATCTTTGCCAGCCAATTTTCTTAGTTCAGGTTATCACCTTCACAGTTTCTCTCTTGACTTATTAAAAAATGTAACATTTTGACGTAAACATTCTGACGTCCTGAAACAGTGTACTTACAACCCCATCTGGCCGTACTGGAGCCTCGCCGATCATGACAAGTCTCACTGAGAGGAAGAAAGAACTTCTCCCAGCCTTCGGGAGCATAGCGCCAGCCATGGGACTGCAGAATGAGGGTTCGCTGTGTGGCATAAGCTACAATCATGCAGTAAGCTACATGGTGGACTTGGCATCCGTAGCCACAGCCCTTATTCAGATTGCAGACCACTTTCTGGGCTGTGTTACACTCTGTGGGATTCTGCAAAGTGGGAGAGGATTGAAGCCTTGTGACCAGCGGAGAATCTCACAAAGCTCTAGGCATCATCGCACCTTTTTTTATGATTCAAAAATAGTAATAAGCCTCCTGCGAGTTAAATTTGAATAAAATCTGGTACACTGAGTTCTTTTATTTACATGAATATTACAATTTGAACTCTCCATACTAAAGACACTGTTGCTATATCTCGTGATTCGGGGCAAGCTGTTGCTTAGTTGCATAATAGACGCCTTGCACCAATGCATTGTTTTCAATGGCTAAGAAGGGCACAAAGGAACCAGTCCATTCCAGAGATGGTGGTTACTATGAAAAAGCTTGCCCTGAATCACGAAGTATAACGACACTCTCTTCATTAATCTTCAAATTCAAATTGTTATGTTTATTGTTTCTGTTTATGTATAATCAGACAACCCAGTGTACCAGATTTTATTCAAAGTTAACTCGCAAAAGGCTTATTCTAGATGGACCCTGCGAATCCAAGAAATGCACACTGAGCTAGATGCATTGCAAGTTTCATGGTGACAGAGTCAAAGTTACAGTGGGTCTTTGGGTCATCTTACCAAGAAAGACTTTTGTAAATAGAATGAGATGAATAAGTTGCAACAATGAGTGAAATCAATGATTAAAAGAAGCTGACTTTCCAAGGATTGAAAACAGACAATTTCACTAAACTGGTCCACAATCTGCATAATCATGATTGCTAGAGGCAAGTACCGGTAATGAAAAAAATGTTCTGTTTTGTCTCAACCATCCATACCTGTAAATACTGAAACCTCCTCTGCACCAAATCACTCAATGATTTTGCCTCTTTGGTTCTCCATATTGTCTTGTTATCTACCCTGCTCAAGTTGTAAATATCTACAATGATGGACCTGCGTGTATGAACATAAAGAACAAAAATTAAGAGAGACAAAATCAAAAACCAGGGAAAAAGTCAATTTATTCAAAATATTATTGTATTTTTCCTTACTTGTCCACTGGAAAAATAACAGTGCAGCTTTCACTGGCCTGAAAGTGATTTTAACTGTTGCAAGCAACAGCATGATCACAGTTGACTCGGTGGAAAGAAATCCAAACACAGCTGGGAAATAAATAAAATATCTGGAGGCAGAGGTCGTGTCATGCAGTAGGACTTTTTTAAAAAGCAAAACCACTTAAAAATGCTCAGTTCATTTTTGTCCAGGGTTAATACTTTTAAATATAACAGCACATGCACATGTTCTGGTACGTGTATGCATTTGATATGGTATAATTATGATGATTCCAAACTCTTTACATATAGGTATCTTTAAATCATTTATATGTTCCTTTGAAAGACCAAGAGATTTGTCATTACAAGACCCAGAAATGATTTCTTACTTTCTAATGTGTGTATCTTTATTCAAATCAATCATTCCCTCCTTTTCGAGATTTGAGCTTGTCTTCACGAGATCAGTAAATGAAAGAATTGTGACTGCATGGAAATATTCTGATGTATCTATCTTCTTTACATTTGAAACGCAGCATTTTTACAGAATTCATTACAGTTGATGAAGAAATGCCCTGTCAACTTGGACCAGGCAAGTCGGCTCATCAAACTAATAAACAAGATGTCCAAATATTTCTTTATTGATCCTTTCTGTCTGCTTCTGAATATTAAAATCAATACATTTGGGAATGAACATGTACATGTACTTCAAACATCTTCAGTAGTTTTATGACAACACAAATATTCAATGATTGAGAATTTTTCCTTGGCAGACCAATGGTACATATACAGCATTTCCGGTTCATCTCACAGTTTAATACGATTCATTATGCACCTGATCTGTACAGATCTGATGCACAAGGCTGTCACTGGACATGTGAACGGAGTATTTTGTATGCTGTCCTGTCCAAATGTTTATTGAATTCTCCACTTCATAAGGCTCCTCTACGTGAAGCATTTCACCCCAGGTCGTCTGTTTCTGAACACCCCTTGAGATTCATTAAGAGAACCATTCTACAAGCACTGTGAACCAAGTTCTGTGAAATTTAATTTTACAGAACTTGGTACAGGCACTCATCAAAAACAGTATTTTTTCAGAATTAAAAAAAAATTCAAGAAGATCTCCTTCAAGAAGATCACTCATACGTAACATGTGTGCAGAACTGATTTCCCCTGCCTGTTTAGAACTAGATATACCCCAATACCCGAACACTGAGTTGAAATTACAGCACATTTCCTAATAATCTACAAAATGGGTTTTGAAAAGATGGAGATTACCATAGCAGTTTTGACAAGTACCGGTATGTAAATTACCAATGTCAAATTCAACATGAAAATATTTATAAAAAATCCCTTAACAAGCATTTGTCATATGTGGATTTGGATAATTCTGTAATTTGGTGTCATTTCAAGGATACTGCATGTACATGTACATGTAAATACCTGTAGAGTACATGTCAAGACTTCTAAACATTTTGATTTGATATTTTCAAAGGCAAATACCGGTAGAATCATGTTGCAGACATGTCGCTTTTATTCTCAATACAAAATATGCTCCTGGACCTATGACAGAATTTTTTAATAGTGCCCTGGACCTCTTGGCACTTGTTTTTTAATACCTGTCACCTGGACATTTGAAGCAATACTACAATAACAAGCAAACTAATTACAAGAACACCGAGTCCAAATCCTGGATGAGTGTGCCTACCTGTAGAAATCGATGCTGTATGAACTGATCATTGATTCATTATGCTGAGAGGTATTTTCATGTCTGCATGGCTCTTACTGTGAGTCAACACAATCAATAGTACACGTACACTTGCCAGCAACATACTGAAGACAGGTAGCCATTACAACAGGACATTAGCGAGTTAATATGATTATGCATGTACATGTATAAGAAACGGTACTTGTTGTTTACAGGGTCCCTTGAAAAATGTGTGATTAATTTTAGCATCGTGATAACAAAGATCCTCCAACCCATGGCAAAAGGATTCACTGCACTGGTACAGGTACATTTACAAGAATTTCATGAATTCCAGGCCAGAGAGTTGGGTTAAATTACAATGTATTACTGTAAGTCTATCAACAATAACTCACTGTGGAGCAAACTGCAAATCAACGTTTGAGGGAAAAACCCAGGGAAAGCTTACAATTCCATACATTCTTGGTACAGTGCAGCAATTAGTGTTGGTACATGTACATCACAGAGCAAAGACCAAGTGTAATTGAAGAGCATATCCAAGTCCAGTATGTATAATCAATAAATGTTCTTTTCATTTGCCGGTAGCTCTTCACTAAAAATGCATACATGTACAGTACATGTATGTGTCTAAGATTGTTTTTATCATGACTTCTACTATACCTTATGGACTGTTTGCCTGATCCTATTGATCAAGAGCCCGTCTTGAGTACTGGTAGTTTTCAACCAATGATAAAACTACATATCAACCACAGTATGGATTTAAATACCGCGTACTTCCCCGAATCCACATGAAATTTAACTCCTACTTTCATATGAAGAGATTATAGTACAGAGCACACAAGGAGGTAAAATTGACAAACAAAATCTCAGAGAAAAGTATCAGTTATCACATCTGATGGACTTCTACATGAAAAAAGATACACCGACAGGTACAAATGGCAATGAAAGTATGATGGATTGGTTCAAACAAGTACAGAATGCAAAAGGGTCCTAGTACTGTAATGGACCTTATGTTTGGCTTGTCCACTCTCATCCCAACACAAAGGCCCCTATCCTGTACTTGGTCATGTGTTCAGACTGCTCCATCAGCCTTTATACCCTTATTCATATTTTGTATTCACAGTCCATTATTTGAAGTCCATTCCAATTTCCAGCTTTACATTCAACCAATACGCCGGCATGTAATTTGATGTACATATACTCTTCATGTTAATATGTCAACACCTGAGAACAGCTTCACAAGTTTCTGAGTGGTACGTATACTGTACGTACATGTAGCTCGTACATTATATAATACCACTTCTGTACATTTCCCAATCATAATAAAGTCTAAAATCTGTTTGTTTAGGGCACCACCAACATGAGTGGTGTTACTGTAAGTGTCTGACCTACATGTACATGAAATGGTATTTCTTTCGCCAAATGGCAAAATACACCCTACGTGTAAAAAAAAAGATCGTAATGGTGCCAAAAATTGTAACTGATATTTTAAGAGTGTATTCCAAGAAAATGTAAATTCATTTACAAAATCAAAACAAATATAGTACCGGTACATTGTATGCTCATCAGTTCCAACATGTTAGCCTTGAAAATTTGTTCAAATTTACACCGGTAAAACAGTTTACATTCATTTTAAGTGATGGCCGCTTTGAACAGCACCAATACACCAATCTCTAATTTACGGTTCCCCTTCTCCAAAATATGACTCTCATAACCTTTGACTTATTAATTATCTGTAAAATGAGTTATCCCTAAAATGTGAACTGTGATGTATAGTGTAACATGCATGAATTTGACCACAGCGAATACGGCCGTTTCACAACAGTGCGCCATCAAAAGTTTGCAACGAGTTGGCCAATCATAATGTGTGAAATTTGTCGACCCAATGCGCATTTGGAAAGGGCCGACAAATTTTGCGCGTTATGATTGGCCAATGTATTGCAAACTATTGTGAATCCCCCGTACTGAGGTATTGTCTATGCCATGGCATGCCATTTAAAGTAAAGGTTATGAGGCAAGAAATGCCAGTAGATTTCAATGTATACAATGTAATGTAACTGTACTGATACCGGTCCCAACAAGTCAAGATATGGAAAGATTACAATCAAATTTTAATCCAAATGCTGAATGGTTTTTTTCTTTCTGGACTATAAAATACAAATATCCAGACTGAAAATTTACAGAAATTACATTTTACAGGAAAACAATAAAAGTTTAAAGCATTGCCCCAAAAATGGACACAATGAATGCAAGCTGGACATGACACCTTGCACTGAATATTCTTGATTCATTCCTATAAATAGACACACATTACAATGTTACAAATTTCAATTCTCAATAATGCCTTGTATTTAATGTAACTTTGTACATATGCCTTATTCGGTCTGCATACATTACAATTTTCATGCATTTCTATCCTCAGGCAACAGGAATCCATAATTTTTTTGCCACACTGAAAGCTGTTCATGAATATAAAGGTGGGAGAACGCAAGGAAAACATGGTTAATTTCCTCTGCCTGGGGCAATGCAGCTATTGATGTGGACATAATTGAGCTAAAGTGATCACTGGCTCACCCCCTCTGGTACAGGTACATGACCGGATAAGAAATGATCCAATTAAAGACTACTACCAGCTTTATCTACCGTCACCGTCACAGTGATAGTACTGTAGCTGTTAATTATGATTAAATATACCAATAAGTGTTTCTTTTTTTCTGTTGCGAATATTAATTAGGAGCTACTTCAATGTTCTGTGCTGACGAGGCATACATGTACAGCTCCTTGATCAATATTCCCCATCTGTTTTGTTTTTTTTGTCTCTATAAGTGAAGCTGAATATCTTCAGTAAGCTGATGACTTTTTTCTAACGTACCGGTACATTGGCATCTGGAAAAGCATTTAGCATTTGAACTACATGTACATGTATGAGGGCTGCATGCATGAAATTTATGCCACACGGATGTACAGATGTAATGTATATCATTACTTTGAAATGGAAGATGTCAGATTTGAATTAATATTTTTATCTTTCTGAGCATTGATTATAACTTAATCTTTGTGAATACAAAAGTCTTTTGTCTGTCCATCTTGCTGTATGGCATGGACACCATAAATGTTCAGAACCAAGTAAACACAAGAATTAACATCCCACTTGACAAAAATCTGTTTTGAATTGTCAATTATGCACTATACAACAATTGCAAAATTAATTGGGAATACAGTATTTTTGTAATAAGTTGGATGTTTAGATAAAGTAGAAGATGCAACATCACATTACCCCTGCTCATCAGGCACATAAGGCAAAATCCCCACATACTAATCAATAAGTATTCAGCTCAGAGAGAACAAACAGCTCCAGCTTTCACACAATCAATGAACACTGAACACTGAGGCAACTTGCTCCTCCCCCTCCATGGTGCAAGTGGATTAATGATATTATGATGTACATGTACACATGGACATTTTTTATATTTGTTGTACTTAGAAATTAGAAAAATACATGTAATGTCAATATTTGTTACGTCCTCACCTCTGTTGGTGACCAGCGTCCTCCATCATCTGATCCACTTTCTCTTTCACTTTCTCACTGGTACTCAGCATTTTTACCTTCTGAAGTTCAGCCTTGAGGTAGTACCAGATTTCCACCACGCCATTGTGAATGCGTCTGAGGAGTTTCTCCTGCTGTACGCTAGGGCTGTTGCTGATGCAGGAATACCGTGCTTCTGCTGCTACATCTGCAGAAGAAATAAATTTCAGACAATTTAGACGAATCTGCCTTTCATGTCTCAATGTTGTGGCTGGAAATAAAGCATGCAGTGCATGTACGCTGTGTTTGGCTAGTTCATGCCAGAATCAATTACAATTAATTCATGACATGCAATCAGAGTCACAGTTTCAGATTTTGCAGAATCAATTCCCTCTTATTGATTAAATTAATTCTGTTTCCTAGATTCCAGAAGGTGGCAACAAATACAGGAGAGCTACAGAGGTCTGTGTCTGATTTTGTGTGCTACTCACAAATACTTGCATTATTTTTCAGAATAGTTTTAAGATATGGAATGAATCCTACTGAACAGAGATAGATTAAATGTCTCAATGAATTCTAGTGAGCGATTAACGAGTATGCATGAAAACTCTGTATCAATTAGGTCTATGTATTTGTGGGTATTTTTTGGAATGGGTACCCATTTCTCTTTCTGTGAAGAAAGGAGAGGATTCTTTCACCTGATGTAAAAGGATATTTATGCACATGACAGGAGCACAAAGGTAAGGTTTTAAGCAAGCCTCAAATAGGCATGTTCATACTGGACTTTGAGTTGTAGCCATTTAAATTAAATTCCCCAGACAGCAAAGGAGTCACTTCTGAAGAAGCTCAGAAGAAGCGGAGTTTTTGAGTTACTTTCCCATCTACCATGTCTGTAACTTGGGGTTTGAATCCAACCTTGGCCGGCAGGAGGATTGAGCTTCCAGCCCTCCCTAAATCTAACGGTTTCCTCCATATGTTTTGTATTCCGTGGCTTTTCCACCAAGCTCATCAACTTGTCAGTTCTTCACGGCAGCTTGCAAGCTACAGTACCAGAAGCATTATTCAGAACTCTTTCATTTTGTTAAACACTGATAGTGAAATGTACCGGCACATGTAAATAATGATACAGAAATGTCTATGGATTCTTAAATATTAATTCTTTCTTTAGTTACACCATCGGCCTGTTCCACCGCTGAGGATAATTGGTATTTTTTGAGCGGTCTGTTGGATATTGGGGGACTTTGAACCAATGGATGTTGCTGGAATTGGGCTGAGAAAGGAGATCTGTCAGAAACATTGAGATACCCCCCCCAAGACTTTGTCCTGTTCCAATGGCGCAATAATTGCAATCCATCACAATCACAAAGAGTAACAAACAAAGCTGACTGAGGGCTGTTCAAATGGCACTTATGGCTGTCTGTTTGGTAAAGACAAATTTCTGTTTGCATTTTCTTAAAGTGAACACTGCATGGCAGTCCCAATGCTGTGGAAAGATTCATGTATTCCTTTAGTGCAGTTACACCGGTAGGTACCAGAACATACATAAGGGGCCAACAGGGTTTGTATTTTTTACGTAGACTAAAATCATTTGGTGTGAGCAGACATATTTTGCTCAATTTTTATAGATGCGTAATTGAATCTTGTCTGACCGGCTCTATTATTGTCTGGTTCAATGCTACTCCTAAGTGTGAAATTGATAGATTGGATCGGGTGGTTAAAAGTGCATCACACATAATAGGAGTTAAGTTGGATGACATGAAATCGATTTATGATAGGAGAATGAGGAAGTGTGTCCAAAATATTGTTAATGATATGCATCATCCAGTAAGTGAGTTCTTCCATGTGATGCCTTCAGGAAGGAGGATGAGATCAATGGGTGCATAAACCAACCGTTTCAAAAACAGTGTTATGCCATCAGCCCTGCATGTTTTTAATAATGGGAATTATTGATCATTTAGAAACAGATTCACACCATTATTTGTCTGGGGTTTAAATGGGATTTTATGAAATGAGTATGTGTACAGCAATTGTAAAGTTTGTTTTAATCTCTGTGGTAATTAGTTTAATTAGTTTAATTGTATGGTATTTTTAATGGAGTTATTTGTATGTTTATGCGAGTCCAACATTACAAATTCCTTTGACTGTTTTTCTTTTAATCATTGGTTGAATGAATCAATCTTTAATCTATTGTATAAATCAACATAACCAATGAAACTGCTCATAAATTGTGTATGAAATGGCCAAAGAAAACCCACACCAACAACAGTTTTGTCAAATCAAGACTGGTTTACTGTCTTCATTCCTTGATTACAGGAGAGCAGTAAGTCCCTCATTAATTCACAAAGTTCAACATGAACTGTGGTTCTCCGTGATATTCACTGCCAGGAATCAACCTAGACAAACTCTGGAAAAGAAAGATCATCTACAAGTAGCTGTGTGAGATCAAAAAACAGGAAGTTCCATGCAACCTGAGTTAAAAATTCATTTACATGTACATGTACATCTTCAAGAACATGGAAACCCTCTTTGTGCATTCCTGGTGATACCCAGTATAGCTCTGTAGGATTATACATTTCTTCTCCATTCAAAATTTGATGAAGGTTTAATTGAAGAAGCTTTTCCCTTTCGTCTACGTCGAGTGTTACATTTGATTTTCTAGACTGAATTTCTTGTATTTACACATGTAAATTCTTTATGTTTGAGTATGGAGTTTGTTCAACTGTAAACATAAAAAAAATACTTTCCATTTTTCTATCCATATTTTTTCTGATGCAAACAAATTTAGGGTTCTGAATAACCCTAATAGTCTTCAGTGCTTGAGCAACAGGTGGATTGATGCATTTACAGAGAAATCATTTAAAAATCACATTTTAATATAATATTAGCAACACACACAAAGTCAAAAATACAACAGAAATTTATACAATTTTTTGTTTTTCTCTCCACATCAAGAACTGATCTTGCATCATCATGGTATAATTATCCTTAATGCTTTTTGATGACAGAAACATGAGAATACAAGGTCGCACGGGGCTAATGCTGAATCAACAACCTCCTTCTGGCTAGTCCCAATTTCATAACCACTCAACCACTCAGCTATCCAGGGTCTCTGTGATTGGAATCTAATATACCATCATCACCAGCAATGACAGATGGTAGAATCTGATTGCTGATTCATGGCCAAGAAGCAAATCAAGCTGTAATAATGACTTACCCCCACGGTAGCTGTCTCTCTGTATGCCATCTTTATTCAGCTTTTCTAGTATGTTATTAGCTTGGGCAAGTTTTTCTTGTAAGATGAGTGCTTGGTTGTCTTCAACGTCGGTAGCTCTGAATTCAACCAGGTCCCTGTCAAAAGAAGGGAAAAGGTCAAATAATTATTCAAATATTGACAATATGGTGGAAAACATCCAAGATTTGCATAGTAATTCTCATACTTCCAATAGCTAAATGTGCATTATTAGGTAAACGCTAGAACTGTTTTCATTGATTCACAGTAATAGGGGTACTTTCTCGGGAAAAACAAGGGTTGCTGTAAGCATGAGGGGATCCCTAGTTAGGTCACGGAATTAGAACAAAGCACTGAGGCTCATATTTGCAAACAGTACACCAGACCACCCTGAGTTGAAGTGCACCCCCAAGCGGCAAAAGAAAGACAGATGGTAGTAAGATTTCCAAGCGGGTTCTTGCACGCATCCTGTGTGTACGCAAAGACCATACATTAAGGAATAAATTCATTAAGCGTACTCAGCGTGGTCTGCGTCAAACGCGCCACTGATCCCATTATAAACACACCCTCTTTTAGTCCGCTCGGAGTGGACTGGGTGGTGAATAAAGGCTACCATCAGAGTGTTTACAAAACTTTGCAATTTGGCTCATTTTTGTGAAATATTGGTGTCTCCAACAGCTGTTTTCTGCTTGATAAGAACATTTCAGGTGGAATGAATTTACAGGTGGTAAGCGTTATTCCTACATGTATATTCAATTTACGTTAACTTTTCGATAATATGAAAGGATAACTACACCTTGAAATTCCCCAGCCACTGGCAAGAATTATCAAACCTATGTACCGGTACATGTACAATACCTGAGTTGTTGCGCCTGCTTGCGTAGTTCATCATTCTGCCTCCTCATACGATGCAGCTCTTTGGACAACTGGTTCAGCTCCAGGGCGGCCCCACTTTTGAACTCTCCCCCTTGCCCTGCCCCCTCCTCCCAATGGGGGAACAGTGTGCCGCTCAGGAAGACAAGACTGGCCAGCCACAGAACGGAGACCGTCAAACCCAGCTTGACAGTGGTCTTCATGACAGGACGAGTGCAGTGGGTGACAACGACGGATGGTGAAAGATAGATGTTGCTGTGTCACCGATGTTGGACGAAGCCGAGCATGGATGAAGGGTCAAGGGTGACTACCAGTACACAGAACATCGTCATCTCAATGTAATGCTGGAATTGAAAATCAGCTAAATTTAGACATACTGTACAGGTGAAACATTACAGTTTGACATGACACTTGCAATTCTTGCACATTTGTACACTTCACAACCATCCTCCACCTTTTCCAAGGGGAAAACAAAGTCTTCAGGATAAAAAAAAGATACACACTTTCTACTGAACCATTCTCAGCAAAAGCACTGATGAACCAATCAATTAAATGACTTTAATTTTGTCAGCTACCTGCAGAACAATCACGTGTGTAGTGTACAATACCGTACATTACACTGCATACCTGTATAAATTGGCTCATATATACCTGTACATTTCACTTTCAGGAAGCATGCATAACATTATCAGAGGCATTCAAAAGGCAATGTCCCATATCACAGCAATCAGCGATAACATGTACATGTAAATGTATGAACGGGTTGACGTTTAAGGTTATGTACACATAACGTACTGTCCTTTCCCATTCCTTCATGCCCCTCCCCTTTTTTTGGCTATTTTCAATCTGCCACGGCTACATGCCAATAGAGCAAGTATGCATATCCTGCTTGAAAACCAGGAAGTTGCTAGTACAGACCTATGATATTGTTCATATTACAACATGGATACCACGCAAAATCTGAAATTTCTGAAAGGTGAAAATAATGACCAATAAATAAGGATATGTATCTGAATTTCGAAAAATGCAAGTGAATTGCAGACATCTTGCCTCAAACAAAGATCTTTCCATTTTGGATTCACTGTGATATTTTTCACAAAGATTCAGCAATAAGGCTATGAGCATGGACATGGTCGGGTTGCAAAGTGGTAACATACATGTACATGATGCAACTCTCTACACAATACTTTTGTTTTCCAAAAATAAACTTCTGCCAAATTTTAATCTTACACGTAGCTCAGTTTACAAGCTATACCAGAGAGTCTCATGCACATGTACCAGTAGATCCCAAATCCCTTATGGTTAGAACAAAGAAAATGATCACCAAGTGTCCATTCTGTAGTGCAGCCTACTGTATGGAATTCAGCCTCCATGGTAAGTGCATTAGAACATGGTCACTGAAAACTTCCCTTCTAATTATGTTCATCACACATCTTCCTATTCATATTTATTTCAAGTTATGTTACTACATGTAATTAACACTTTACCTTTTACTTGATAAAAACATTTTTTTACATACATGTACATTGTATTGTCATGGTCCTTCATCATAGCAGTTTAGTAATTGATTAGGTTATCCCCATTCTAAAGCAAACAATACATACATGTATATGTACATGAACGTATTTACACAAACATTGACAAGAATATTGTTTTTAAAAATCTGCGTTCCATTTTCCACTTTCTTTGTGTCCATCTACAATTTGTCCATCTTAATGTGTTTGGATGCTGGCTGTTTAGTGTATGGCATGTAGACATTTTGGTTAATCATGAAATATGTGCTTCACCAGTCTTAAATGTGCCTTTAAGACCGGCTCAGGAGAACAGACGCGACTATCGCATTGTCAGCATTTGTTCTCCTCAGCAAGGTCTTAAACGTTAGTTTATTCCCATTCATAAATACTGTACCTTTTTATTCAGAGAGTCAACATATGATGGATTTCCAACAATACTCTTCTAAAATTTTACTTTCATTTTCCCAAACAACCCCGTCCATTTTATGGTACAGCATATTCCTTTTGAAAGTTGTCCAACCGAATTTCCTCGTATATTGACTTGGCATGCGCATGGCATGTTCAGCGTGTTGCATCACACGCACACTCATGATCAACAGGGATGGAGTGTACCAGCGCATGTTTTACACAGCGGGCATTATCACTTCTCAGTGGGCATTATCAAATGTTAATATATGGTCAAGTTGCACGCTGTTGAATAGTGAGACTGTCTAGGTATTTCTGAATATGTGCCTGGTCAGTCTTAAATCTGCGGATCAGGCATTAGTCACATTGATTTTCCTGAGCCGGTCTGCAGACCAAGCACATACGCAAAGTATCTATTCCCATTCATAAATACTGTTTTAGTCAGAGAGTCAAAAGAAGTCAACATACAATAAATTTAAAGAGGATTTTGTTCAAGAATTTTAGTTTCACGTTCCCGAACATCCCCGTCCATTTTACATGTACATGTATGTTATACTCCTTGTGCAAGTGGTCCCGAAGAATCTCCTTATATGGGCTAGTGTGTGTGTGGTGCGTTCCGCATGCTGCAATACACACAGAATCTTGATCAATAGGGATGGATCAAACTGTCGTGTATCCAGATGCAGCAGACATTATCAAATCGCAGCGGGCATTATCAAATGTTAATACGTGGTCACGTTGCTTGTTGTTGAATAGAGAAACTGCCTGAAATGTTTCCAAATCAATTTCAAAATAACTATTCTATTTATCATTTTATTGTGATTTTGAACAGACTGGCTCTAGAGAGTGTGCAATGCAAGGACAATATTATTGCCAGGACGGATTGTTCATCAGGTTAACAACTGATACACCTGTGTCTATCAGGGTATTAAAAACACAGACAGCATGTACTATAATGGCCTTGAGACAAATGCCGCTGTCCACCTGAATGTTCAGTGCTTCATAAAAATTTATGAATGATTAAACGGAAAAATATGTAGGTTGCTATAAAGCACACTAAATAACGCACTTCTTTACCATGAGGTTTAACATTTCCATCTATTAGTAAGATGGCAAGAACAGCTGTTCTGGAAATAACAAGGTATTAGAAAGTTTGATCTAAAAGTTATCTGTTTGAGTCCCACTAAACAAAATCCATATCAAACTACATCTACACGTATGCTGCTGACATACAAGAGATGCCAAAATTCATGGCAACAATGGACGTAGGCTCTCCATTTCAAAATATCGTATTTGGGGGACTTGGTAGCGAGGAACCAAAATTTGTTTGGGGGGACAAAAGAGTCTCAAATTTGCCTAACTGCCGTCACTTTTTTAAAGCATTATGCAACAACGTGATTTTTAACATATACCGGTATTTACAAACATATTTATTACATTCACAAGTTGTTGTGTTCACACTGCAACAAGCCCATTGAAACCCAACTCATCATACTAAAAGTGGGTCTCTGCTATACAAATCCCTTTGTCAAACTGTACATTTCAGACATTTCGTCTGTAACACTGAAATTTCAGACAATCTAGGGCAATCTCTTCAAGACATCGAGCACAGTACGTTACAAACTCTCAGCACAAAGTCAAAAGGTACACCATGTGCATTTCAGTCAGGGAAATAAATACAACTGTCAAACTAGAAATCGCTGTATCTGTGTGGTTTCGTCCTTGATGACATCATACTTTTTCTCATAAACATGTAATTTCACATGGGCGTCAAAATCACAAACTGCACCAAAATGTCCTTAAAACAGCACAGTAAAACTTGAAAATCAAGTCAAATGTTTCACAAATGGGCATTTATAACAAATGTCTAGACACAATAATACTGTGACTCTTATCCCAGAAAAAAAAAATTCAGTACCAGTGCAATAACAAATCAACATGATCTGCCCAACATGTCCTTATGACTGCATCCAAGCAAACACACACAGTTAGGTGCCTATCCCTTAAAGTCCAACATGTCTGAAATCTCTTCTATAAAGTCTGGGATGTGTCTGAAAGGTGTCTGAATTCAGACCTCCACTGTCAAACAGGTACATGTAAATGGTGATCGAAATGAATTGGCAGTGCAAAATACGCAAGAAACAATGAAACTCAAAAACTGCTATCTGATTCCACTACTACTATCATGTGTTAATATGAAGATCTATGACATGTATGATTCAATTGGAAATATTACTATTTGAAAATATGCATTAGTTTCCCTCAAATTCCCTCAACTGAGTTCTTTCATTAACCATAATTTAATCCATTCATTTAGTCATAAATTCTTCAACAATAGTATGGGTACATGGTTCATCAGCTATCCTCTACCCCTTTCTTCTTTTATCTTCCTTTAAACAGAATTTTATTTCACTTTTTCCTTTACAACAATGCAATGGGTTTACCCATTTTTAAGCTGTCAAAGAGACACACATTAAAGGTGCATAAAAAGGTAGGCAAAAAGATCAGGAAAATCTGACAATTTTCTGAGAATGATGCAGGGCTTTATACACTTACCTGAGCACCATTTTCTCTGGTCAGGTTTACCAGTGAGGGGAAATCACTTTAATTCAGACAAATGAAGTGTCACCGACCAACACAGTTTGGATAAAAATTAGTGGACACTCAACTTTGTTCTCACTCAACGCTCAACATCTGTTTCTTGTAGTCCAACAATGCTGGCAGTTCAGGTTTGCACATAGATCCTTTTCTTGTCACTATGTTATCACACACTCAGCATTCTGATGTCAATTCAAACTCCTGCAGGATGAGCACAAGGCTATACTAGTTTTCACATCATCGTCTACATAAAGTCAACCAAAAGCCGGCCTGTTGCAAGTTTCTTGGTTGAAATGGCAGGTGCTAAAAGGAATTATTATCGGTGTTCCAAAATTTCACTGACAGTCACACTTAAGCAGAGTCAAGCCGATCAGGACCCGACAACTCACCATTGTCCACAATTCCAATTGTCTTCCCAGTTTGTGTACTGCTCATAAAGTTTGGTACAGTCTTGAAGAATTTGAATTCTAAGACGAACTGGTGTGCTTCAACAGTTAAAAAACAGGTGTCACTGGCTTGGCTGATGAATGTTCACTTTAATCAAGTTACATAACGGTATCTCTGAAAGTTCATTGGTCACACAGTATTTGGTCATGATACAGCCAACTGTGGCACATTTTCTGTCTAATGTAACCTTATACATAGACTTGCCAATTTTCTTCTTTCAGTTTTGATTTCCGCGATGACTTTAGTGTAATGTTTTCACCACACGCAGCTGTCCACAAATTGCAAGTTTATCCTGTAGCGAAACCAACTGCAAGTTTCACTAAGCTGAAAAGCCACAAAAAGCCACAACACAATAAATTCAAATACCACATGAAGTCTTGAAATGAACTACAAGAAATGCTGCAGTCCTTTTAGTCCTGCAGCCGTACTTCAGATATCACTTGAATCTAGAAAGATGATTCCCTCTAGAGTGTGGTTGAGCCATCAACAAATCACGCCAAGAGGATTAATTGCAAATGGCAGAAACTCTAACTTCGGAGCCAATGACAACCTGATGAGCACGCACCAAAGTCACACTTTAAAGCTCCTGCACTGAAGACCTACATGTACAGTGTACATGTAATAGATGTGCAGTCCTACAAGGCACAGCCGAGACCTGCTTTTGTCTCTTTTCCGTGGCAAACAATTTACCCCACTGCCTCATAACAGGATTGGAGAAAACCCCACGGATAGGCAGCCAAGCGTAACCAATGGCTAGATGGGAGGAATATTGATCTCTTGGCTAGACTACATGTAAATACCCCCCCCATGTGTTAGCATATACGTGTATGATGACACTAATTTCTGGGACGGGCTTTGTCCTGGCCCAATGCACATGGTCAAAACAATAGTGACACCTACCGGTACATGTAGCTGATCTTCTCTCACAACAAACCAATTAACTTAAAACCAACAAGTCTTTCATAAATGAATTGCTATGGCAACATGCAATGTCATGTAAGCCTAGCAACCCAAGGAGTCATGCTTTTCTTTCCATTCACAGAGATCATCACTTGCCTGCATTCATTTTCAGCCTCTAAGCAATGAATGCACTCTCCAAGCATTTTTGTATCGACAGCCGCTGCCCACTTCTTTTAGCAAAAGGAATCCAGCATGTTACAGTACATGAATTCTTAACCATGCCCATCACTACACTGAATAGAATATGACAAAGTTACCCTTTACCAAAAGGCCAAGGCTCATTGACATGTACATGTACGTACCTGCAGACCTGCAGACCGTAGTATGACCGTATGTATGCATACACATACATGTACATGTACATACATGTGCATGTCCTATAGCACCTGGCCTATCAGTACTAAACACAGGTGGGAATGGTAATTAGAATCTGACCTACATGTACAATTAGCTTACATGTACCATGTACTAGTACAATAGAACCTGTGATTCACTTAAGAAGCTGATGATATCACATTATCGTTGACCTGAAAATCAACTGATCTGAAATTACTTTCTTTTACTACATTTTTCCTGCATAATTCCTGAAGACACAAAACCTCATACCAGTGCATCATCCCGTGATCAAATCTTGTATGCCCATACAAATAGCTTGACAGGTACTGCTCTGTTTTAAGGAAGAATTCTATGCTGGAATGAGACTCCTGTTAATTCCGTCCACTATTACTTTACAGCAGGTCAATTGAAATGAATTGCTCCCAATTTTATGGAACCACTTTGCACTACCTGAACACAAAGCCAAAAAAGGAACTAACCAAAAAAAAAAGTAATCAGACAATTCCCCAAAATCCTTTTCAAAATAAAATCTTCACAAAATAGAAATCCTTGTTAACCATTTCCTTCACAAGAATGTGAACAATTTAGTTTCTGAAAAATGTATGAAAACTTGCTACCCCACCAGTAGGAAAAGTCAAATGTATTGTTTTTTCAGTCTTTCTTTTTACATACTGGTATATATCATAATGTACCACACATGAACAATGCAAGAAAGCATGATGCATGCGTGATTTCTATCCAAAGTGATTTCCTGATATTTAAAACCATGCTACATTCACATTATCCTTATGCAATACATACGTGCATGTACCTCAGTATCTTCTCTTTTCACTAGGACATACAGAATCATATTGCATATTTCAAATTCTATCTAATGCATATATGATAATTAAAGTGCTGAGACTAAAAATGGCAGCAAATTATACCTTACCAGTACCAGCCAGAATACAAGAATACAATACAGCCAGATTTCGCGCGCTGTGATTGGCCAAAGCGCTGCAAGCTCTTGGAGGCGCTTTATTGTGAATTGCCCAAATTGTTTTAGTAACTGCACTTTTTTCTAGTTTATAAACTTTTGCTCAAATGTACATGTAATATCCACCTAAAGGTATGCAGTATCACAGAGCAGATAAGACTTGAATAAACATAGCAATAAATTCCAGTAATTATGGGAAAAAGTTTATTTTAAATAGAAACATCTGTTCAATCTTATGCACATGTAGAAGTCAAAGTAAGTAAATCAGATGCCTTGAAAAATATTGATCAGAAAACGGCCACTGAGTTCACATACAAATAAAGTACACAATTTACTTTTCTTGAAACCTCTGGGCGATATGGGGACAATTTCAAATGAGCACAGTAATTATTTGAGTTAATTACCTGAATGTAATATGGAAAAAGCAAGATTGATGGATGATGTAAACACACAGAGAAGGGAAGGCTTTCAAGTAATTTATAAAAATTGGATCCTTCCAATACATGATTCATGTACAATGGGTAATGGGTAATTCCAGAAATTAGGGGTCCATTTTCTGGAATTACCTATGTCACATTATCATATTTCTGCTCAATTGTTCCATCTGGCATCAGAGCTGTCAAACCATGTTTTTAGTACCCTACTGGTAGGAAATTGCTATGCTCACCAATGGTGGCTGGCACCCATTTGACGTGCTGTAGTAATGTGAAAAACACGCAATCTCATTTATTGTCCTTAACAACAAATACATGTACATTGTACACTGTATGGTAAAATTCATTCGCCACTAGAATGTCTAATGCTGAATTAATAAACTGACATTTTATGGTGTCTTTAAAAAAGGGATTATGTTTGTTGCAGGCAAGTGAAGATTCATGCACTGGCTTTGTATGAAACACAAGTCGAGTACATGTACATGTACGACAATGTGCATCTACTTATTGATGAATGGATTTCTTTTTTTTTTTTCTACTGAAGATAATTTCTGGGGGAAAAAAGTCTAAATTCCAGCCCAAGCATTTCACAATCACTTTTTACATGTACATGTATCTAATTCCAAGCTGTCACTTCATGGAAGGCCTCGCATAATCTATGAATTTCATACACTATGAAAGAGGCAGCATTATGCATCCACTCCTGGCCTCAGGGATCAGTGCGTACGGTAACTTACAGTAGATCATTCTCAGATGAACCGTGGAGGAACTGTGCAGCTTGTATAAGTTCAGAAGATATGGCTGTTAGGGTATTTGCATTGTTTATTATCATTGCTACCCCTGCAAGCATGGGGGGGGGGTCCACATGGTGTAACGAGATTGCAGATCGTTGCTCACTACAGCCATCATTTTCACAGACAAAAAATGACTGAGCACAGAAATTAGCTCGGAAAGGAAAAATAAGTGTTTCAATAGAAAAAAGATGTAATAAACAGTCCTAAGAGTCATTTGATGAGAAATGCCTCCAGTACCTGCGACTACATACCCAAACATGTAGACTTTGTTGTTTTACATGTACATGTATGCTCATGAATTTATTAGGCAACTGTCAAAAACGGTACTGTGTACCTCTCTAGGGAAAAACATACCAGCACATGTACCCAATAGGCACCAAAAAAGTCTGAAACATCTTTAGTAAGCACAAACATTTGCAGAATTTCATGTACTTACAAGTTGGAAAAGTTTATGAAAAAATAAATGGATATCAATATTTACATTTTAAAAAGTGGGCATCACTAAGTAAAATCTTATCCCCGAAACCAACATGCTGTAGACATTGCAGGTTTAAAAGCATTAGTACGATTACATGTACATGTCCTTCAACCATCACACAGTGACATTAAAAATAGAAACCTACAGGAAGCAGTGTCTTCAGTGAATGTTTAGTAAAACTTTCCACAATTAAATGCAAACCTTTAGGCAAAACATCACTAGTTAAACACAGCAGATGTACCATAGTGATAACAAATCTTCACCAGGGGTTTTGGAAACATCAAATGCTACGAACTTTGTTTAATGACCTAGATAAATGTCAACCACTGAATAATGTACTAAAAATAAACTTCCCAATGTGTAATCAAATATTAATGTTCCAACCAAAGATTGTATCGCAGCGCGCAGGGGCGCAAGATGGGGAACTCTCCACTGAAACGCGTAATTACCATGAGTGCCATTTTGGTGTGATATTGGACCAAAGTACAAAAAAAATGTACATATCGGGGCAGCGCTACGTGTACATCTGGATCGCGAAGCACAATGTCGGCGACGTGTGCAGCCATGAACTGCAAACGCAGGTTCAAGAAAAGCTCAGAACTATCATTCTTACACTTTCCCAAGAACAAAGAAAGGCGAGTAGTAATTTAAATGGTGAAAAGTGAAATTTACCAAAAATAGGTATACAATCACGCCAAAAATTAAGACATAACTTAAGCTAGGCTGAGTCCCCAAATTAATGACGTTCATATTTGTAATGAACCTCTTTGACTCGTGAATGCATGTAAAAGGCCTAGCAGAAGACTTAACATTCTACTTAACAGGCCTACGCTGCACATATTTACCGGCACATTGGACAAAGGATGAAAACTACACCACATTCTTTTAGGAGTTTTACCAAGTTTTCTCTATTTTACAGACAGTATGGGCAGTTAAAATAACAAAAGTGTAGAAACTGTACAGTTTGTAAAACAAAAAATTTGTCCCAAATTCAAACAGCCGAACTATACAGTTTGTAAAACATTCACAACTTTTCCAAAATTCAGACTTGTTGCCCTAAAGATAAAAACCTGAATTTTACTATGTGCTTACATTTTATCTGATGTTTCCATTTCATTACAGCTGCCAACTCTGTGTTCAAAACACCTGCAGGGAGGATCTTCTGAAGAGAACCCAATGGTGTCTCTACACAAACTACCGCCTGTGTTCCAATCAATTTGAACCCAGTCAGTCTACCAATCACCACCAACACAAGCTGAAATAGAATGCAGTGCCCACATTGTTAGAGGTCCCAAACTCACCAAAATGTGTGACACCTCAGCGACAAAAAGGAGGGTGCAAAAGGAAGCTTGAGCCAGATGGGACATAAGAAAGTCCACTAAAACTGGCCAAAAGAAAATATTTATACAGATATACATATCATATATATACAATTAAAATTGCCTATCAATCTTTGTCTGTATATTCAAGTTTTTATATCCAGTTCATCAGTGACTTTGTCATCACATGCACGCATTACACATTACACGTGCCCATTGGCTGAATGCTGAAGTCGCAATTTAAAGTTAACATGCAACATGGGTGTTCAGCCAATGGATGCTTGATTTATCTATATGTATTCTTTGACTAAAAAAGTTGCATATTAATATTTAGCTGTGCAGTTAATTTCTGCAGCACACGATCATATACATGTAGGCGAAGCTACATATAGTAGATGGTCCCT